TTTATTTAATTTTGTAAGTGAAAATGTTGTGCGTGGGTAAATGTTCCTAAGTCATGTCGTAGGCCTGTCGTAAGCTTGTCACATGCAACAAAGTCGTACCGTGTAAATCGGCCCTTACATGTACCTTTCACATGTTTTTACAAAACAAATGCATAACTACAGCATGTGGGAGTGTTGATTGTGCTTTCATTGGCATGGTCGTACCTTACTAGCGTTTCTCTCTTCATAATGTATGTAGGTACACCAAGATCCTCATGAAGGACATTGATGTTGTTAATGGAGCTGGCAAATCAGACAAGATGCGACTCCTGAACATTCTCATGCAGCTTCGCAAGTGCACCAACCACCCTTACTTGTTTGATGGCGCTGAACCAGGTACTTACAAGACACTTGTGTTTGTTCAAAAGTGATTTGGTAACCCTGGTAGGCTCAATTACCAGCCACTGTTTGAGAAAGGAGCCCATGCTTTTGGTGAGGAATTCATGTCAACCGTACTGTAGTGGGTGGCAGAAATTAAGTCTGGCAAGTCGGGTTGGTATTACTAATCTAAACAAATGCAGCTGAGGGTACTTATCTCCTATCCAGCTGATTTAAAAACCAGCACTTGCAGATCTCTAATTTTGTTATTCATTTTGTTACAGGTCCCCCTTACACCACTGATCAACATCTTGTTGACAACAGTGGTAAACTGCGTGTTCTGGACAAACTGCTTGTCCGACTCCAACAAGAAGGTTCTAGAGTCCTGATTTTCTCTCAGATGACAAGAGTGTTGGACATCCTGGAAGATTACTGTCTGTGGAAAGGATTTGAGTACTGCCGCCTGGACGGACAGACACCTCATGAGGAGAGACAGGCATCAATCAATGCTTACAACATGCCAGGCAGTGAGAAGTTTGTGTTTATGTTGAGTACCAGAGCAGGTGGTCTCGGAATCAATCTTGCCACAGCAGACATTGTTATTCTGTATGACAGCGACTGGAATCCACAAGTTGATCTCCAAGCCATGGTATGTTTATTACTGCAAGCCTTTCAGTGGAAAAAAATCTTGTTTATGGTGAATTTCACCCTCCAAGATAGGTTCCTCAGCTGCAGGTTTCGTTTTGAAGTTTTTAGAAGCTAAGCCAATGATCTCACAACAGATAACATTACAGGTAGTAATGTGGTCTGTCCACAGACCCACTACTTTGTCTTGAAATCGTTAAGATTGCAAGCTTAGCAAAATATTAACTTGGTGCATGGGATTCACGTGCTGAAACCAGGGGCTGGGGCTGGGAAAAGATCAAACAATTTTTGTGCTGCTTCACTCTGTAGGACATATAACTCGTAGCAAAAAAATAAATGCTGTTCCGCAGGGCAGGAAAAAAATTTTGAAATCCAGTTGCCCAGTGGGCCACTACATTTCTGTTTTCAGTTGCCCCCACTAAAATAATTATTACTTGCCAGATGATAAAAAGAAATGCAGAATGTTTGTGTTTTTCGTTGCCATCTCAAATCTACGGCATGTTCTATTGGTAGTGCCAGACTTCTGTTGAACGCAACATCCAATATCGCAGCCAATAATTATGGCGATCGGAGGACGAATGCGAGCAAAGCATGTTTGGATTTTACATTAATCCATGTTTTCAATAAGCACTTAATGAAAGGCCCCAAGGGAAACAGTGAACTTTGTTTCCGTGAGACCTTCAATGTTCCCCGAGGCAAAGCCAAGGGGAACAAAAAGGTCAAGGGGAAAGAAAACTCACTGTTTCCAGCGGGACCAGTCATTAGGTGTTTTGTTATACCTCCCAACTCAAAAATAGAAAAAACTGTGAAGAAATCATTTGCTTGACGCGGGCTGGCTCACAAATTTGCCACGGTTTCAAGGAGCACGACCTGATCACATGCAAGTCAAAAGTTCAAGTTGTTGTTTTCCTGGGGAGTTAGTGAGTTTTGTTCGCCCTAGGGAGTTAGTGAGTTTTGACCCACGACACGTGACACGTTCTCCTCCAATTGGAAAATGTATTTGAGTTGGGAGGAGGTATAACAACTCAGTTTTTTTGCTCATCTTGCAGTCTTAGTTTGAAATTGTTTTTGATTGGAAATTATCACTAACAAGACTGCTGAGGCTAATTTCACTTGCCCACCAGACCACCAAACTTCCATCTTCACTTGCCCAAGAGCAAACGTTACTTGCCCCGGGCAATCAGACCTGGATTTTTTCCTGCCCTGTGTGGACAGACTAGATGTAATGTTAATCATTCACTGACAGTTGATCTACTCTGCCATGTGTTTCAGGATCGGGCCCATCGTATTGGTCAAAAGAAACAAGTACATGTGTTCAGGTTTATCACAGAAAGCACAGTGGAGGAAAGGATTGTGGAACGAGCAGAGATGAAGCTCAGACTTGATGCTATTGTCATCCAACAAGGTAGGACAATACAAATCTTTCCCTCTCTCCTCTCCTGCACAGATCTGTCGGAGCAGATTATAGCATCCATTTCATAGTTAATGCATCTCTTCTGTTAGTTCTCTGTCATTTTTCTTAACTAGATTATTTAGGGGCTTTTTTCTTTTGAAAGAATTTTTGTATGCCAGAAAGAATTACTTAAAATTATGCGAAGAAAAGTCATGCCTGATAACGCAAGGCTGATGATTTCGCAGTAAGGCTAGTGAATTCTATCCTTTACTTGCCTTTCGGCACATTGAAATTTTTGTTGAAATTTTTTGAAGCCATTCAAACTCCAGAAGTACTGGAAGGAATTATTCTCATGAGAATTTTTTGTTTGGCACAAGGCTGGTGATTATGCTCATGAGAATTTTTTGTTTGAAGGGGGACGGGCTAGTGAGAATGACTCTCGGACTAGTGTATCATAGTTACACCTTACATCAAGGTGCAAGCTTAACAATAGATTTTTGCGTCCTGACGTATTTTGTAGTTGCCAATCGCTGTGAAGTTAATTTCCTTGTACGTTTGTTTTCAGGCCGTCTTGTTGATCCCAGCCTGAAGGTCAGCAAAGATGAAATGCTAAACATGATCCGTCACGGCGCAGATGAAGTGTTTGCTTCAAAAGATGAAGAAATCACAGATGAAGACATTGATGCCATCTTGAAGAAAGGAGAGAAGAAGGTAAGGAGTTAAAGAAGCCTTTCATTCCCTGATCAACAGATAATTTCTTTGCAGTATCAGTTTTGTGACAAGTAAACAGCTAATGTGAACCAGAATGCATAATGACTTGATATACCACCAGAATCTCAGAGCTAACATTAAGGGAATTTTATGACCTTAGGTAAGGAGAATTTGGTGTTTTAGAGCCTCGTTCTGTTAACTTTATGTTGTTAGACTGCAGAGTTGGCTGAGAAGATGAAGCAGTTTGGTGAGGGTTCGCTGAGAAAACTTGCCATGGATGCACCAACAGAGAGTATCTTTCATTTTGAGGGGGAAGATTACAAAGAGAAGCGTAAGGTGAGGAGTTAGTGAAGGTAATGAAGTGGAGGACCAGTTTGACAATACTTGAAGAAAACCTCGGAACAGCAGGGGAGAAAAGTTAAGATTTCCACGACGGACGGACGGACGGATTTTGACGCTGTCTGGAGCCATTTTTACAGTGTAGAGAGTTATCTTCAAATAAAAAGGAAAGAGTAGTAGTATGGAACATAACCACATAACAGGTAGACTGCAAAAGAGTCGTTTTTTCTTTCCTATTTGGAAGGCACAAAGCACCGTAAGCGTGATCCTCGCGCGTGAAGCACGCGATCCTCACACGCCCGTATGGTCTCTCCCCAGCGTCCCTCACCGTTTCTATACACGCTCCAAAACTTTCGTTCGCATACCGCCCGCGTCGCTCGCGTTCGCAGAAAATACTGTACGACTGTTTTGCAGTCTATGTAACACGTGATATTAACCCGTCGATGATTGGTGCAGATTCTGATGAATTGCGAACGACCACGTAAAAAGTGTACGCCGACAATTTCAAGGCTATTGCTCTGGATGGCAGAGCATAATTTTCAGTAGGTGGTCTGGAGAGATGGTAAAATGGCAGTGTTCTTAAACGCGGAAATTGTTTATGAA